AAAAAAAAAAAATCTTTAAAAAAAAGAAATATATTTTGTGATAGAAATAAAAATCACATTAAAAATATTCACTAGTGTCAGGACAGTTCAATCGGGTAAAGCATAGTCTTTTAACAAATGGTGTTGGGATAGCTAAATATCCACATGCAAAAGAATGAAGCTGGACCCCCTTCACACACACAAACACCTCATATCATATGCGAAAATGAACTAAAAAGGGATCAGAGACCTAAATGCAAGAGCTAAAACTATAAAATTCTTAGAATACATACAAAGGAGTAAATCTTTCCGACCTTGGATTGGGCAATGGTTTCTTAGATACGACAGGAAGTGTAAGTGACCAAAGAAAAAAATAGATAAAATGGAAATCATCAAAATTTAAACTTTGTGCTTCAAAGGACAACATCAAGAAAGTGAAAAGACAACCCACAGAATAGGATAAAATATGTGCAAATCATATACCTTGATAAGAGACTTGTACCTAGAATATGAAAAGAACTCTTACAACACAACAATAAAAAGATAACCCAACTTAAAAATGGGCAAAGGATTTGAACAGATTTTCTCCAAAGACACACATGGTCCATAAGCACATGAAAAGATGCTCAACATCATTAGTAAATACAAATCAAAAGCAAATGAGATACCACTGCAGACTCACTAGGATGGTTAAAATCAAAGACAGACAATGACAAGCAGTGACAAGGATGTGGAAAAACTGGAACTCTCATATATTACTAGAGGGTTTGTAAAATGGTGCAACAACTATGGAAAACAGTTTTACAGTTCCTTGAAATGTAAAACATTGAGTTACCATATGACCCAGCAATTCCTCCTAAGTATGCCCACATAAAAACTATACACAAATGTTCACTGAGAAGTATTCATCCAAAAGTAAAAACAATATGAGTATCCATCAGCTGATGAATAGATGGATAAACAAAATGAGGTATATCCATATAATGCAATATTATTTGGCATACATGTAACATTAATGACCCTTGAAAATACTGTGCTAGGTGAAAGAAGCTAGTCAAAAAAAAATCACATATTGTATTGTCCTAGTTACATTAAATGTTCAGAAAAGGCAAATCCATAGAAACAGAAAACAAATTAGGGCTGGGAGATGGGAGGAACAGGGAATGACTGCTAATATAGGGTTTCTTTTGAGGTAATGAAGATATTCTAAAGTTAGATAATGGAGATGGTTTTAGTGAATAGACTAAAAACCACTGAATTGTATATACTTTAAATGGGTCAATCTGTAATATTTGAATTATGTCTCAATAAAATTATTTAAAATATTGCTTATATGTCCTTCATTCATTCACTCAAAGAATGTTTAATAAGGACCTATCAGACACTGTACTAGTGATACAAAAAAGAATAAAGGTATTACTGGCCTCAGAGATCTTACAATCTATTAGACACAACAAAGTAAATATATAAATTAGAAGGGCTATAAGGTTAACATGTCAGGCTCACATGACCATAATAAAATAGAAAATAAGGACTCTTTTTTACATGATAAAATATATCCTCTCAACCATAAGGCCAAAATCATGTTTAACTAACTTATGCTGAAATTAAAAAGGCATGTAGCTACATGTCTATCACAAAGAGATAGTTAAGACCATAAAGAACAGGGGTCAGCAAACTACAACCTATACACTGGCCTGCTGTTTTTGTAAATAAAATGTTACTGGAACATTTACACCCATTCATTTACTTCAGCTGCAAAGTCAGAGGTGAGTAGTTGCCACAGAGGCCATGTGGACTTCAAACCTAAAATATTTACTATATGGCCCTTTAAAAAGTTAAGAGACTAGCTAGGGTTTGTCCCATGAATGCATAGATAGTTCAGTATTAAGAAATGTATTAGAAATTATCTAAATTGCTGTATTAAAGAAGACAAAATATATTATTTTATCAACAGGTATTTTAAAAAACATAAAAGGAAAAAAGTTTCCAATTTATGAAAACAATCTTAAGCTAAAAATCTTTAACTTAATTAAAAACAACAAAAAACAAAAAACCCCAAATATCTACCAAAATACAAAAGGAAACAATGAAACACTGGAACCATTCCCATTAAAACTGGAACAAAAAAGATACTGGCTAGTAATTACATTGAAAATTATAGTTTCCAGAAGTCCTGTCCATTGCAATAAGACAAGAAAAAAAATGAAGACATACATATTGAGCAGTAAGGAACAAACTCCATTTGAAGAGTATATGACTGTCTACCTAGAAAATCTAAGAACCAACTAAAAAATTCTTGGACTTAATAAGAGTCCTGTAAGTTGACATAAAGTCAAATAGATAAACACATATTTTCCTATACACCAAAATAGCTGATTAGAAAATATAATGAAAAAAGATCCATTCATTCTCAACAGCAACCTAAACCATAAGTAAGAATAACCATTACAAGAAATGTACAAGAATTATAATAATAAACCTATAAAAATATAAATAAGGACCTATAAGAAAAATTGAACGGAGAATACATTATCAAAAAGTTATGAATTCTCTACAAATCAATGTAAAAGTATACTGCAATCACAATAAAACACCTAATATATTCCTTTATAGAGCCTGACACACTGATTTTAAAATTCACATGGAAGAGAAAATGCTCAAGAATACCAGAAGACTCTGGAAAAAGGTACAAGGTTTACTTATGGTTCCAGAAGAATATTAGAAAGGCTATGTAACTGAACTTACAAACTGAGTTCATATAGTGCTGCTTATTGGCACTATGTTCTCTGCTTACTCTGGGAAACACTCTAAGAAAGTCACAGGAAATGTGATGTTATATTTATCACAGGTTTGTTGCTGTGAATGTTATTTCTAACATTATCTCTATAAAAACCCATTATAAGATTTTTTTTTCAGAGAACTGAATCAGGAATATCTTTACTTATCTGAGGAATTATTTAGCTTCAATCCTTACAGATAATACCAATACTTTAACTGGTTGGCTATCCATTTTCTATGATTGAATAAAGACTGGGTATACACATGCAGCTCAAATTTATTCCAACTATGTGCAGACCCTGTGACCTGGATATCAACTTATCAATTTTCTAAATTTTCTTTTGGACTTGATCTATTCAATCCATGTTTTCCCTATTTATACATTTCCTTTTTATATGGATTTTTGAGAGATTTAAATGACTGAATAAATGGATACCTTACCTGCAAGTTGATCATTTTCTGCAGCTCTTACACAGAGACCTATGAATATAAAAATGGGAAAAAAGAATAGAAAGGCATGAAAAACTAGAAAGCAATGTAGAAAAGAAAAGAAGCACTATCAGAAAAGAAGGACCCGGGCGCCTGGGTGGCTCAGTTGGTTAAGCGACTGCCGTCGGCTCAGGTCATGATCCCAGGGTCCCTGGATCGAGTCCCGCATCGGGCTCCCTGCTCGGCGAGGAGCCTGCTTCTCCCTCTAACCCTCCTCCCTCTCATGTACTCTCTCTCTCATTCTCGCTCTCTCAAATAAATAATCTTTAAAAAAAAAAAAAAGAAAAGAAGGACCCATACTGCAGCTTCAGTAAATGTCACCTAGTGGGAGAATTATGATTCTAGGAGATGTCAGAAAAGTCCGTATTTTATAAGCACCAAACTCTACTGGTGGTTTTGTTATGAATATATGAAGGTTAGATAAGTATGTTGTACATTTCTGTCCTGCTGATCTAACAGCAAGTTGTTAATCTTTGAACCAGTGACATTTTTTCCTCCCAAAATTTATCCTAAGAAAATAATAATAAATGAATCAAAAGACTAACTAAAAGCCTGGTTTCTGAAACTCAGTATCTCTGGAAGTCTCTGCTCTGAAGCTGGGATAAAAGAGCTCAAATTAGGTTGGGTTTTCTTGAGAAGGCTGGACCCAGGAATTTTTTTTTTTTTTTTTTTTTAAGCTGAAGCACCTTCAGTTTAAACTCTAAACCAAACTCTCTCTCTCTTTCTCTGGAAATTCACCATCTCCTATGAGCCTAGTATCAGTTTTTAAAAATTCCAACCAGCAAAGCTGGGGCCATAAAAAGGCTAAAATACGCAAAAGGGACTCACAGCTTTATTTACACAGCCTTCCCTGGAAAATCTGCAGATTCAACAGAGACCCTTTAAAAAAAAGAAGACTACAAATCGAAACTTACTTAGAATTCACTGCTCAAATATTTCAAAAGGAGAATAAATCCAACTTTTGTTTTTTTTGCAGGATGCTATCTTGCAAAAAAAGAATAAAATTTGGAGCACAGCATAAGGAATATAGTCAATGATACTGTAATAGTCATTTAAGGGGTAGAGACGGTAACTACACTTGTGGTGAACATAGCATAATGTGTAAACTTGTCAAATCACTAAGTTGTACATCTGAAACTAATATAACATTGTGTGTCAACTATAACCAAAAGAAGAAAAGGAGGAGGAAGAGGAGAAAGAGAAGGAAGATAATTTGTAGAAAACTCATCTGGGTTTGAATCTCAGCTCTTCCACTTTCTAAGCTGTCAGTCTAAAGCAAATAACCTCTCTCAGCTTCAGTTCATATGCAAAATGGAGAGAACACTTACTTCAGATTATTGTGAAAATACACTAAGAAGAGAACATAGTAGTTTCTCTAGAAATGCTTTCTTCCTAGATCCCTTTGAATGGTTTAATATTACCTTTTGCAGGCTCTGGTAGGGCCAATGATGTTCTTGTAACCAGGAAAGGTGCAGCTTGATGCACATACTCCTACACAGTGATCTCTACCTACAAGAGCAGGAATATGCAAACTGAGCCTGCCCCAGCCCCACCCGGAATCTGGGAACCCACTGAGTGGTAGTCAGCCCCTGCTCTTGCTCTCTCTGAACTACTCCAGAATTGGACAGGTCTCACACACCCAAACACGAAATCACCGCACGTGGGGGTTGTGAAGTTTTATCTTCGGTAAGCCAATAAACTGGTCCCTTTCTCCTCGCCCGTCCCTTACGTCCCCAGGCTCCGCAGAGTCATACCTGCCTTTCACCGCCACGCTCCCAGCGATGCCTCTAAAACATCAGGTTACAGAGCTCTCCTAGAGACTCGGGGCGAAACCCGCGTTCTTACTTCACTCTGCACAGGTTGGAAGATTACGGAATACCGGTTGCCGCCCCATTGCGCGTGTGCGGAAGTAACTGACGTCCAGGTTCCCAGGTCCCTCCGCGGTGCAGCCTATTCATAGGGGACTACATTTCCCATAAGGCCTGTGGAGCTCGTTTCCGGAAGGCGTCAGAAGCATCGGCCTCTTTGGGGCAGGTTTCTGGGTAGTATCTCTGGGGCTTCCCTGAGAGCTGCGCTCCTTTGTAAAAAGGAGGAGTATATATCATTTTCGTTAAAAAAATATAAAGACATCGAATTTTTAAGAACTGGAAAATCTAAATCAGCGGTGTAAAATAATAATCTACCCTTAGTTCAATTTCTTCTGGCAATGCCCCAGCTTAGGTCCCAATGAAGGAGGTGAAGAGGACTCAAGAAAAAAGACTAAGAGATAATGTGTGAGACAGACTTAAAAGTAGGAGAGTTTGGATCTACAAAATCGAAGGAAGAAAATGTTTCAAGACGTGGAGACTGATCCACTGTGTTAAATGCTAGTGATGAGTAGGATGGTAACTAAGAATTGACCATTGGATTTAGCATGGTGAAAGCTGTTAAAACATGCCGTTTTGGTGTAGTGGTAGAAGTTTGATTAAATCTGATAAGAACTTGATAAGAGTGGGATGAAAGAATGGGAAGAGAGGAAGTGTAGAAAGCAAGTATAGACAGTACTTTTTTTTTATTTTTTTATTCTTATGTTAATCCCCATACATTACATCATTAGTTTTAGATGAAGTGTT